TGAAAATGTGCTGTGTTCATGAAATCATGAGTCATTTTTCTCATTTTGGAGATCCAATTTTTCTCCGTGTATCCGAAGAATTTCCGAGCTTTTCTGAAGTTATTCAGTACTTTCAGAAATGATTTCAAACTTTTCAAAAGTGATTACAAACTAGGGGAAATGGCTCTAATGTTGGCCTATGGATCTAAGATTGGGCCCATCGCTAAAAATCTGCTATTTATCAATTTTATCTAGATGAACGCGTCATTGGGACGGTACTAATGGATATTTTGGGTCGCTATTGAAAATTTAATCGATTGCTGAATTTATGTATGGGCCCAAATTAAGGGCATTTAGGCCGACATTACATCCATTTCCCCTATCTGGAATGATTAAGTACTTTTAGGAGTGATTGGAAACACCCCTGAAGTGAGTCACTGCTTTATGGAGTGCTTCCGAATTTTTCTGAAGTGATTCAGTACTTGCTGAAATGATTCATTACTTTCCAAAGTGATTATGAACTTTCTGAAGCAGTTCAGTACTTCCGAAGTGAATCTGAACATTTTTGAAGTGATTCAGTGTATTCCTAAGTGATTCAATTATTTTCGAAGTGATTCCGATCTTGCGGAAATGATTACACACTTTCTGGGATGAGTACTTTCCAATGTGAATCCGAAATTATCTGAAGTGATTCAATATTATCGAAGAGATTCCGAGGTTTTTTTAAGTGATTTAGTACTTTCTGAAGTGATTGCAAACTTTCCTAGAGTGATTCAGCTCTTTCCAAAGTGATTCAGTGCTTGCGGGAGTGATTACAATAACATGTCTAAAGTTATTCAGTGCGTTCAGAAGTGATTCCGAACATTTATAAAGGGATACAATACATTCCGAAGTGATCCAGTATTTCCCGAAGTCGTTGAAAACATTTCTGAAGTGATTCAGCACTTTCCGAAGTGATTCTTAACTTTTTTGAAGTGATTCAGTACTTTCTGAAGTGATTTAGAACTTTTCATGAGTTATTCAGTGCTCTTTGAAATGATTCAGTACTTTCCGAAGTGATTGCAAACTTTTAGGAAGTAATTAACTACTTTCCGAAGTGATTCAATTGTTTTCTTAAGTGATTCAGTACATTCCGAAGTGATTCAAAACTTTATTGAAGCGATTCAGTACTTTTCAAAGTAATTCCGAACTATTCTCAAGTGATTCAGTAGTTTCCTAAGTGATTTTGAGCTATTTGTATGATTTCAAATTTATTTCCCATATCTCACCATATTACCAAGTTCGAATACTCTTTGACGTTTTTTTTTCATATTTACTCTAGAATTTCCTCCTCGCAATCCCCATAAAAGTCTCTTCAGAACTATTTTGAAATTCAACTTTACTTCTTACAATTTTCTAGAAACACTTCTCATAATTAACTGGAACTTCGTGTCAAATTATTCCATAATTCTTCTCAAAACTGACTAGCCATCTAAAAAAAAACTACAAGAACCAGTCCTATGAAGTTGTACGCAATGGTGACGTAGGACTACGTGGTCTTATATAATAAATGATATTTTTTAACTGCAGCAGGAGCTTGTGTTTTGTGTAGGAATAGGAATTTGAGCGGGTTTCTCTTTGTTTATACTCTTTAGTATGACCATGATTGTCCTGGAAAGAACCTTTTGATATGAATTTTAGTTGGGACATGTTTATACATTTAACTCTTTTGGAAAATTCTGGTGGCCCTGTTTCACGTCGTGGTTCTTCTCTGTACGTCAAATCAAACGAGTAGAAATAAGAAGGGTCGGTTACGCGTGCGAATAATTGAAAATTCGATAAATATATAATCAAATAGCTGGAAAAAGCTTTACGATTAATCGTTTATCGAATAATTGGACTTTTAGGCATCCCTAGAAAATTGTGTAATTTCATCTTTTTTAGTGGTCCTTCGAAAATGTCGAGCAGCAGAATTGCAACCAGCAAGTGTTACCCAAGGACCAAAAGCGATGCGATGCTAGTGTTCATTGCTATGACGACGACAGAATTAAGGGGCTTAGAGAGGGGTGACAGTCAATTCTCTTCATAAATTTCCTCTTTGGATGACCATGGCATCACTAACCTATATTTCGCGATATTTCTGCTATACTCTTTTATCATCCAGAACAACAAACGTATCAATAAATGTGTTTACCGTCGAGTTATTAACGAAACAGAAAGTCGATGAAGAGAATCGATCAAAATCACTTGCACCCCTGCTTCCAAGTTTGGCTACAAGATTACAACTCTGGAGAGCCTTTTTCTGTGCAAAATGTTGCGCAATTGCATCCTCCCTATTCGCACACATCCGAAGATCGGAGGCGAATGCCACTTAGACTTGTTTCGTTTACTAACGACGCCCTGATGACTGTGTTGGGGAATGTACGTATGTACGTAATTGGTGGATTTGTTAGTTATTTCGACGCTTTTGGACAATGCTTGACATTTATCACTTTTCAATAGTTTCTTATTGAAAATCAATAGTCAGAAGCATTCTCGATGCATAGTAATATTTCTGATCGATTGATGATAAAATTGTTGAAATTGGTCCAGGAGCAGCTGAGTTATTAACGTTCATAATCTTTCATAATTTCGTTACATATTCCATTTTTGGTTTTCACAAAGTGTACCCCCATATATAGAAATCACAGACGTAGTCCTGCGTCAATCCCCATAAAAGTCTCTTCAGAACTAAAGCTTGAGTCAAACGGATGTATCTAGGAACCATCTTAATGAAATACAAATGTTGAGCATTCAAAATGAAAGTTATTTATTATACTTTAAAGGAAAAACAGCGAAAAAAATTATTCCGATTTGGTTTTGATGAAATCTCAAACTTTTCTAAGAATACCACTCATCATATTTTGGACACTCTGTTGGCTAACCTGAGCGGCCGTTTTGTTCCACCATCTCTTCATCCCTGTCGCTTCCCGAGTCACCTTTCCACTGTTCGTCAACTTCTGTTTGACAACTGCCCAACATTTCTCAATTGGGCGGAATTGAGGGCAGTTGGGTGGATTGATGTCCTTTTCGAAGAAATCTATCCCGTTGTCTCGATACCACTGTAGAACTTCTCCACTGTAGTGGCAGCTTGCCAAGTCAGGCCAAAACTTTACAGGTCCATTGTGAGCCTTAATGTACGGAAGAATACGTTTTTTCAGGCACTCCTTGCTTGTACATTTTGTTTGTCACAAATACCTTGCCACATAACAAGCTTTCTTGCGATTTAGCCAATTTCAACGAGTTTGCGATTTTCGAACCTGACCACGTCGGATTTTCCAAGTGGGAGTCCAAAATTAATTTTCGGTTCGCGGCTACCATATTCATACCTGATAATCATGACAAACTTTTCAGCACTGAAAGAGGAAACATTTCAAAACAAACAGCTGTCAAAACATTCCAGATCCGACCGCTAGGATCCGTGCAGTAAAATAAACAGAGCGGCCAGATATTGAATGACTCAAGCTTTACCTTGAAATTCAACTTTAGTTCTCTTTGCAAATTTCCTGGAAACACTTCTCATAATTGATTGGAACTTCTCGTGAAATTCTTCTATAATTCTTCTTAAAACTTCATAGCAATTATTAAAATAAAAAAAAAATAAATCGTCAGAAATTCTTCAGTGTCAGAATCCTAAAAATGTAGACCCATGAGGTCATGATTGTTTTTTTTTTAATTTAAAATTATGGTAACTACGCAATATTTTTAATTTTAAATGTTTTCGTAGTCTAAAACCTCGAAAAGTTCAAGAAGGTAAAACATTCTCCTAGCCTTTAAATCTTGGAAATTTTTCTCATCTTATCTTCAAAAAATGTCAAAGTCCGAGACCTAAAATGTTATTCCGTAGATCTTATTGTTTTCTTAAAAAAAATCTAAGTTCAATCTTTCACATTATAACATTCGGTGCAATGACCAACTCGGCTCAGTAGCGTTAGGCATTGTGTTATTTGTCAAATTAACATGTAACTTAGACATAATTCAAAATTCTAAGGCTTCAACACTCCGAACAGGATGCCTCCGGTAAAAATGTGTTACGGAAAATTGCCAATGTTTGAAGAATCATTGCTCAGAAATTAATACTTAGATTTTAAATCTACTGGTACCGAATAAAGTCTGTAGTTTCAAATAGCGCTAATAGATTTGAAACTCGTCAATAAATGGCTGAGCTATGGTTTTTTAAATATTTCAAATTTGCCGTTACACAATTTACCGGATGCATCGTTTTCGGAGCGTTAAAAAACGTTTCAAATTGCGGATTTCGAAAAATTTCCTAAATTACGTTCGGATCTTGAAGCCTAATACATATCCAATATTCTGAAAATTAATTATGTTTCTGAATCATGAGGGCCCTTGTTTTCCAGTTTTCTGCATTTAAAATAAAATGTCGTAACTTTTTGTTTACTGACATCTAGGGCTATGCATGGTAAAAGTGGAAACAAATTAGAATTTTATTTCTTAAATCCAGTGGCTATTCTGGCATTGCATTGGATTTACTTCGTCATAAGGATGAATGCAAGAATAGATTCGCTTGGAGTGCTTCCTTTGTGTTTTGAGAACAATGGGTGTAAATTTCTGCCTATTGCTTTGCTGGTTTTGAACTTAAGTATCGTGCCGGATTTGTTTACGGGAAAATCATAGATATATTTGACGTTTTCTGCTGGATAGGCCAAAAACAGGCCCTTAGGCCGAAGTAGTCTTCTCCCTTATTATGAAATCCAATATAGAAAGAGAAAATGGAAATCTCTCTGGATTGTCAGTGGTCAAAATGAATTCACAATACAAGGAACATTATCAATAGATTTTTCCGAAGCTTGTATTGAATAACAAACCTTTTAAATCGATACACATGGTAACCCTAGTTGACTGAGAGTCGTCAACCATTTTCAGCGAAATATTCCCACACCTACAACCAGAGCAGGCAAGGATTAACCAGGTCGCAGAGATCATGCTTAGTACAACCAATCGTAAATTTAAGCCGCATTCTTCCCCGTGCAACGACCTACCTGAACTGTTTGAGTATTATCCATCCCAAAGCCATCTTCCGGCGCCTGCCCCTCCAACTGGACCGTCGGTTCGGGTGACGACGCCTCCAAATCTGCCGTCAGTTCGTCCGCTGCCGTTGGCACCGGGTCGGATTCTGGCACGGCAACAGATTGCACTATCGCCGTCGCCGTTACCAGTGCAAAAAACGTCACTAGAAGGGCCAGTTTCGTGCCTTTGATCATTTTCATTTTTGCCTCGCTCCGGTGGACGGCAATCAAGTTAAGAAGCGCAAACAAAAAAATCAAAACAAAGTTTCACCACCGATAACAACAACAACAACAAGAAAGCCGAGATCCTTCTTCTCGCACCTCACTCGAAATTGCAGTGAAATTGCATTTTTAGCATAGCGTGCACTTTTCCCTCGCTTTTCACTTTAGCGGCGATAGCTGAGTAGGATACACTCGATTGCCCACAAGGCCACCCTGAAGGCTGTTTCTGTATATTCACTTTTTTATCTGCACTCCTTCTTCGGCTCGTTACGAAGCTCACACTCCAATTGTTGAAATAATTAATACCTCGCCTAGTATATCACCATGCATACATAGATTTCCCATTCACTCTCTTCGTGGTCATGCTTGTAGATCTTGGCGAAGCATATCCAAATTCACTTCATTCAACACATTTATTGCATCGCTGCCGCATAACCAAATGTATAGGTAACTCTTTTTCTCTTCTTTTTTTTTCAATCCGGCTAGTCAAATTTCACCGCCACCCGCGCCGAGAGGTGGTTATCGTTGGGCTTCTGTTCTTCGTGCTTTGGCACTGTTTCAACATCAAACAAATTTCTAATCCTTTTTTTGCCGCTGTCACTGAAATAACTGACTCTCTTCGATACGGTTTCAATTTAAACGAATCCGAATCCAATTGATTGGAAATCCCTTTTTTTCTGGAGGACAAATTCGTCACTCCACCCACGTGTCTGATTCCGCGCCAAAAACAACCGTGGACCACCAATCGAAATTTCCAATTTGTTGTGGTTCGCTTTCGAGCGAGTTTCCGTTCGCGGTAAGTGAGACGGCGAAGTGAACGTCCACCTGGTCCAACGTTTAGTAACCGACTAGCAGGCACCAGCGCGTGGTGAATGGTTCAAAGCCTACCGATAGACTGGTTGTCGGCGGTGGCGCGCTCGCATACCTCAGAGAAGCCCATTGCTACCGTTGCCGCCGGCATCAGGCACACAGGTGGGATGCTGCTGTCCGAAGGCTCTGTTGGACCGTCGGTGCCGCGCGTGCGGTGCACAGTGGGATAATTGTGCTTTTCCTATTGCCTACACACTTAGAAATAACTAATTTTACATGTGATGGAATCCATATTTGACATAAAAAATAAGACGTAAACAAACATGTCATGTAATATTAAGTGCTCTGAGACTGAAAAAATCGTTGTTCGACGAAAAGTACGTTTGATTACGCTATATTTCGCGTCCGTTATGACACAAGTTTATGTCAAAATTGACGCTCGTATATGTCACTCTCAGGGCACCTAAATTTACATGACTTTTTTCTAAGTGTGTATGTTATAATTTAGCAAATTTGAGTTGTAATTTAGTTCGTTCTCAGCCAAACCACGCATTGATTGTAAGGCAAATTGCGTGGCTGTGATTTATGCCGTCGTCGCGAAGCCCTAGTGCGTGTTGATATTCCTCGTCGTGACGTCCGTGAGTGTTTTTCGCCCTTCCGTCACGGGTACCATAGAAACGTTATCCACGTGCCGTACTAAATCGTTGCGATTGTAGTCCGAACGTGAACCGTGCCAAGAAAACCTGCGAAGTGTGAAGTATTCTTTCCGAGTAACCGGAAACCTTCGCGTGTGAGGAGATGTTACCTCGCACCCCACCCCGGAAAATGGAAAATTCGGAAGATGTGAAGGTGTTGATCCAGAAGTGTGGCCAAGTAAAGGCTAAGGTCACACGGATCTTCAATTCCCTGACTGCAGCAGAAACTGCGAACAAGAGGCTACCGCTTCCCTTATTGCGGGTTTACTCCAAGAACCTGCAAGTGATTTATCAAGAATACAACGAGATTCACGATGCCATCGCCGCCTCCGTGGAAGAGGAGAACGTCGATGCTCAGGAGGAAAAGTATATTGCATTCGAAGCCCTCTACAATGAAACCTTGGTCATGATAGAGACGATGATCGAGATGATTGAGATGGAGAACATAGCAACCCTGCCCGTGTCAGTGCCTTCGACATCAGCAAGAGCGAACCAGGCTTCAAGTCAACCTGTCATCATTCACACCCAGTCTTACCGTTTTCCTCTACCAACCTTCGACGGTCGTTATGAAGCATGGCCACACTTCAAGGCCATGTTTCAGGACATGATGCAGCGATCAAACGATTCCGACGCTGTAAAGCTGTATCATTTGGAAAATTCGCTGAAGGCAGATGCTGCAGGTGTGATCGACTTGGAGACACTGCAAAACAACAATTATGCACGAGCATGGGAGATCCTGCAAGAACGATTTGGAAACCAGCGATTGATCATCGAGTCACACATCCTTGGCCTCCTGAATATGCAAAAGGTTCTCAAGAAATCATCAAAGGATCTGCGCAACCTGATAGATGAATGCACCCGTCACGTCGACAATCTCGTTAAGCTCAACCAGCGTTTAACCGGAATGGCTCAGTTGTTTGTGGTGACACTACTGACACCTGCCTTAGACGACCAGACTTGTGAACTCTGGGAAGCTTCAATCAATCAGTCCGAGCTTCCTGAGTATGAGCAGATGATCGCATTCCTGAAGCAGCGGTGCGTGATTCTGGAACGATGTGAAACTCCTACCGCAGCATCTAAGGTACCGATCGCCAAGACTGCTCCATCGAAAGGTGGACCTTCTAAGTCGTCGCATGCTGCAACAGCAACATCGGAATATGCGTGCGACTTTTGTTCCGGCCAGCACCAGAATTTCAAATGCTCGACTTTTCAAAGGATGACCGTAGACCAGCGTCAAGACAAGCTGAAAGCGACGAATCTGTGCTTCAATTCCCCTTAGTGCAGCGTGTCCAAGCAATAAATCCTGCGGAAAGTGTTCCAAAAAACACCACACTCTAGTTCATTTCGAGCAACGGGAGAAACCTGAAGTAAGAACGAGTGAGCCGCCTAAGCCAGCCGAAGTAGATCCAGTACCAGCAGTGGCGGAGCAGCCTGTGCATGCTTCCTGTTCCAGCGTGTTTCGTTCACCAAGCAACCAGGTGTTCCTAATGACAGCGATGGTCATTCTGCGTTCTAAAGGAGGCCACACTCACCAGGTTCGAGCTCTCCTGGATTCTGGATCACAGATCAATTTGTTGTCGGAGTCTGTGGTGAAGAAATTAAACCTGCTGAAATTCCCAGCTAATGTTCCTGTAGTCGGCGTAGGAGGTACGCGTTCCCAGATACGCCATCGAACGGTGGTGAGAATGACATCCAACTACAGCAACTTCACTGCCAATGTTGATTGTCTCGTCACACCGAAGGTAACTGGCACCATTCCGTCGGCAAATGTTAGAGTGGATTCCTGGCATATTCCATCCGGTGTACTGTTGGCCGATGCTTCATTCAACCGTCCACGAGAAGTGGAAATGCTGATTGGTGCCGAACATTTCTTCAACATTCTGAAGCAAGGCAAGGATTGGAAGCATGCTTGCATCGGTTTTTCGACCAAGAGGAAATCGCTGAACCATCAATGATGACGAGTGAAGAAGAACGTTTCGAAGAACACTTTCAACGGACTTATCGTCGTAATGAAGATGGACGATTTGTTGTCCAGCTGCCATTGAATCAGTGGACCAGTTGAAAAGTTCCAGATCCCTGGCGTTGAAACGATTCCTGTTGTTGGAGAAAAGATTGGCGCGAGATCCTGACCTGAAGACTCAGTATGCGGAGTTCATCGACGAATATCAATCGTTGGGTCACTGCCATGAAGTGAGGCAGGAAGAAGATCCTCCTGGTCTACAATCGTACTATCTGCCGCATCACTGTGTCTTCAAGCCATCCAGTAGCAGCACAAAGTTTCGTGTTGTGTTTGACGCAACAGCCAAAGCAAGTGAACTGTCCCAGAATGACGTACTAATGACTGGAACCAGCAGCCAAAGTGACCTATTCAGCATCGTACTACGTTTTCGAACCCATACCTACGTTTTCACCGTAGACGTATCCAAAATGTACCGACAAATTCTCGTTGATCCCTCCCAGACTCGGTACCAGAGAATCTTCTGGCGAGGACACCTGACGAAAGCAGTGAAGGTCTTGGAGTTATTGACCGTTACCTACGGTACATCAGCGGCGTCGTTTCTCGCTGTGAGATCACTTATCCAGCCGAAATGCGGCCGAAGTTATCCTGAATGATTCCTATATGGACGGCATTTTGTCTGGTTCGGATTCAATTGAGTCAACCAAGAAGTTACATCGTGATTTGGAGGAGTTTATGCTGAAAGGAGGATTTCCAATTCGAAAGTGGTGTTCCAACTCAGAAAATGTGCTTGAAGGAATTCCTGAAGGAAATCGAGAGACCCTAGTGCCCATCCAGGACTCCAGCGCAAATGAAGTAATCAAGGCTTTGGGACTTCTGTGGGATCCAAAGAAAGACCTGTTCCTGTTCTTCAAGTCGTCTGAACCAACGGATAACGAAGACAAACCAACGAAGCGGCGTGTCCTGTCCCAAAGATGATCATGCAGTGCCTGTGGGCTACCAACATTGGATGGGATGAACCTATGGAAGGTGAATTACTCCAGCGATGGACAGAGTTCCAGACATCATTGAGCCACCTCAACAATGTCAAGATTCCAAGATGCGTTGTGGTTCCTGATACGGAAACAATGGAGATTCATGGTTTCGCTGATGCCTCCAAATATGCGTATGGCGCATGTGTTTACCTTCGCTGCATTCGTAAAGACGGGTCAGCAGTGTCTAATCTTTTATGCAGCAAATCCAAGGTAGCTCCCCTTCGTGAGTTGACCATCCCTCGACTAGAGTTGTGTGCCGCTCAACTATTAGCCAAGCTAGTGGATAAGGTGATCCCGACGTTAAAACTGGAGATCCGCGAAATCAGATTGTGGTCCGATAGTCAAATAGCCTTGGCTTGGATAAAGAAACCTTTGGATTCGCAACCGAGTGGCTGAAATCAACAAACTGACCAAACACTGTCGTTGGAGCTACGTCAGTACGGATGAAAACCCGGCGGACATCGTGTCCCGAAGAATGAAACCAACCCTGTTAAACAAATGTCAGCTGTGGTGGAACGGTCCAGTTTTTCTTCGTGAAGTCACCTATAGGATGGAGCCGATAGAAGAGATTCCCGACGACCTGATGCCTGAACTAAAAACTGTGGTCATCGCAAACCCGATAGTGAAGAAACTCGATACTAGCTTTGAACGATTCGATTCATTCTACAAGCTGCAGCGTGTTTACGCTCACATAGCACGCCTCGTTCGCCGTGTGCGAACTCCTAAGGATAAGCGAGATTCCTGTGGACGATTGACCGTGCAGGACATGCGTAAGGCGACAAGTTACATCATCCGTGTTCTTCAACAAAACGAACTACATGATGAGATCCATCCGCAAGGTAATCCATAATTGCATGAGATGTTTCCGTAAGAAGCCAAGGATGATCCAACCAATAATGGGGAATCTTCCTGAATCCCGAGTGAACATCGCCGCACCATTCGAACTGACTGGCGTCGACTACGCTGGGCCAGTTTTCGTGAAGGAAGGTAAACGTAAGATAAAGGTCGTGAAGGCATACATCGTTTTATTTGTGTGCTTAGTATCGAAGGCGGTTCACCTTGAACTTGTGTCAGACCTAACATCGGAGGCATTCCAATAACGAACAGTTGACAGCTATGGATAAGTTCTCGTACCTACGATCTTCACTGACGAGCGAAGCTCTACAAAAGATCAATGAGAGTTATGAAGAGTTATGAATCACTGAGTAAGCTGGTTGGTGATTTCGAGAAATACTTGTGGATGCTGCAGAAAATCGCAGAGGAGACCGCCAATTGGAGCACCATATTAGTGCACATGGTATGCTCGCGCTTAGATTCCGCTACTCTTCGACACTGGGAGACACATCACAACTCGAAAGAGGTTCCCACATACACGAA